ACAGGATGGCAACTGCCACAATCATCTTGGTGACCTTACGCTTAGCCTTCTGGGCCTCCAAGATCCTCTCAAGGGGGTCTACGGATGTCCACAGGAACTTGATGGTCCTGGCATATGCCAGGCTCACCACAGTGACAGGCAGGAGGTACCCAAAGACAAATGTGAGGACATCCAAAATCTTCCGGCGCTGGTCCTCCCAAACGGGGACACAGATGGGCATCCCGTGGTAATGGACAATCTGGTAGTAACTGAGGTAAGGCCCCGCGAACAGCAGCGACAGTGACCAGATCACTATAATGGCCACTCCTGCATTTCGGGAGGTGCGGAGGTCCCGGGACTTCAGTGGATAGCGAATAGCCAGGTACCTAGTGGGAAGGGAGAAGGAGAGATCAAGCAAAACGGGTGGGTAAGTTATATCCCCAACTCCATGCCCCATGGAGCATATCTTACCATACAGTCCCCCATCCCTCCCGCTTCTCCACTGCTTAGGAGGGAGGATTAAGGCTGAGGGAGCTGGGCCTGTTCAGCCTGAAGAAGAGAAGGCTGAGGGGGGACCTGAGCAGTATGTATAGATGTCTCAAGGGAGGGAGTGAGGAGGAGGGGGTCGGCCTCTTTTCAGTGGTGGCCACTGATAGAACCGAAGCACCAAAAGTTCCACAGGAACTTAAGGAAAAATTTCTTAACAGTGAGGGTGACAGAGCACTGGAACAGGCTGCCCAGAGTGGCTGTGGAGTCTCCTTCTCTGGAGATCTTCAAAACCTGCTTGGATGCTATCATGTCCCACATGCTCTAGGTGACCCTGTGTGTGCAAGGGGGTTGGACTGGATGATCTCTGAAAGTCCCTTCCAACCTTAACGATTCTATAATTGTGTTGAATGCAAGTAGTGATCAGGGTCACCCCAATGTCAGGGGCAGCCTCACCTTCTCTGCTGTCCTAGCTTGGGCAGCACAAGCAGCAAGCCTCCTGAATCAGGGAAGAAGAGGACCCAGATGGACCCAGAAAGTGCCTCAGATCWCCTCTGGCACACAGCTGCCCTGGGCTTTTGGTGTTCCTGGCTCTATACAGCAGTAAACCAACCCAAGTGTGTGCCTGCGCTCTTCCTGTTAAAGGGAAGGGGCTGGCTAACCAGAAGGTGAGCTTGACTAGATGCTGAGGGAGGGCATGGGGAGTAAAAGATGAAGACTGGTTCCACAGGGCCTGCTTCTGAGGACACTCTGTCTGCATCTTGCAGGGCATTGGATGGGGTAAGGACGGGCCTTTCTCTTAGCCCTTAGTCAGAGGAAACAAATACTTTATCTTTGAGCTGAGGGACTCAAAGGTGAGGGGACACTTGCCTGTCCACGGAGACCGAGGCCAAGGTGAAGCTGCTGGCGTACATGGTGAGGTAGATAAGGAAATGTACAGTCTTGCAGGCAAAGGGCCCAAAAAGCCACCCATCCAGTGTGTAAATAGTGGCCTGGAAGGGGACACAGCAGATGATGAAGCACAGGTCGGCCATGGCCAAGTTAAGGATGAAGAGGTTGGTGGTGTTGTACTTCACTTGACCATTACGCAGCAGCACAGCCAGCACCAGTCCATTCCCCACAGTGCCCAGAAGAAAGATGAGGGAGAAGATCACCGGCACAATGATCCCTGCAGCTCGCACCTCCAGGCTGTCAGAGGAGGCGTTCCAGCCCTCCGGCATCTCCTCCTCAGACAGTGCCAGCCTGTGCAGAAAGAAAGAGAGAAACAGCACCTCTTCCAGGTCCAGACTGTGCATTGCTGTGGATGCACAGGTGCCATTCGGTGTCACGCTTGGCCCAACATTAATCTGTTCACCCTAGCTCTATCCCTAAAACCAATGCCTGATCCATAGGTGCCTTTTGACTGCAGCTGTAGGCTCTGCTTGCTCTATACTTGGAATGTGGTGTGGGGAATACATGCAGAGGGGGAAAAAATCCAGGATATGCTGAGATTCACAAAAAGAATGTTATTTGATCATGGCAAACCTCAAGACATAAACTGCTAGTGAGCTGAATAAATGATGACATAAATATCCTTGTGACATCAAAGGCAAGAATGCTATTGGGATCAGTCAGCCCACATCTGCCTAGCTTGAGTGATTTGAGACAAGACACCCTTTTCATGCCTGGGTTCATGTCCACATCATGGCACCTTCTCTGCTCCCAGCCTCGGAAGGGCTCTCTACCACACCATCTGACCTTCTCTACATTCCTTATAAAATCCCAAAGCTGCTACATCTCCTGGGATTTCTTATTTGCACATTTTTTAATCCCAGCTTGTGTTCAAGAGGGCTCAGCGAGGGCTGCAAAGATTCAGGAAAGGTGGCTGCAAGCAGTTCTGGTCCCCTCACCCTGCACCACATCAGCTGCTAGGGCTGCACCACCTCCAGCAGCCGGGACAAGATGCCTCCCACGCAGGATAACACATCTCACCAACATCGTGCTGGCACGCTCCTACCCCAGGGGAACTCTCTGCCTCTTCCAGCTGGGATCATCCACCCCAGGTCTCGCTATCCCTGGCTCCATTTGCATAGGATTCAATATAGAAGATGCAGCTGAGAAAAGCTCTTTCTGATGCTGAGAGGAGGCTGCAGGCTGGCATGGTGGAGGCTGCACGAGTGTGTAAGGAGCGATTCGCGCTGTGCTCTAATACCTTCATTCCATTTCCAATTCTGAGTTCAGAAGGTCTCAAGAAAAGCAGACAGTGGCAATGGGGCATGTTCTGAGGGTTGGGGGGTTGCTGATGCAGTACACAGGTCACAAGAAAGGGGAATCAGCTGCTGGGTCCTCTCCTGCCCCAACTTACTCACACTTTGCCACTGTTTGGTCTCTCCCACTCTTTGCCCAGCTTTGTGCTGCCGAGTGTCTGTCCCTGTGATGTGGGAGAGGACATGGAGGAGATCCCAGAGCACCACAGAAAGCATAAAGTGATAATCATTGCGAAGCAGTGCAATTTATTCTAAYGCCAAAGGAAAGGAGTATTGGGATCTGCTGCAAATCTCCCTCCAATAGTGAATAATACAGCTTTCAGACAGGGAGTGCAAACAGTCTATCTCCTAACAAGTCTTTGCCTTATTGTTCTATCATTAGAACAAATTGTCCTTCACTGAGCAGCAACAAAAAGGATAAAACAGTTATCTAGCAACTGTTGAGATGCAATTAACTCTTTTWTGGATAGTGCAAGCTCTTTCACCCCACACTTCCCCATCTCTCAGTTCACACTGCTTCTCCTTCCTTGCAGTCTTTCTGTATTGTACSAAAAGGCCAACCCTATCTTTCTGGCTCTCTAATCCTCCCTGTCCCACTGCAAACTATCTCCTCCATCCTGGCCCCATGTGTTGTTCCCGCTCTGGTAAGACCAGTACGCTCAGACACCTCACACACAGGCTGCAGTGCATCTCGCATCGCCTGCCTTCCTGCTCGCAGAGCGCAGGGCTGCCCCTCCGCCTGGCAAGCTGGCACTTACCTTTGGGAGGAAGGACCTGCYGCTGTGCAACTCTCTCAGGAAAGACCTTCAGCCCCGACAGTCCCAATGAGGAGGAGGCAGCCCCGCAACCTCGGCAGTGCCCCTGCCTGTGTCCTGCTACCCAGCTCTGATTTCCCCGCGTCTCAGCCACAAGCTCCACTCTCTTTTCCTCTCTCTCCCACACTCTGCTCTCTCTTTCTTCAGCTCCTCTCACTCTCTCTTTGCCTCCCCCTTTTCCCTCCCTCTGCTCTTGCAGCTGATCCATTGATCTCTTTTTTTTTTCTCCTCTCTCCATGAGGTTGGATTTGGAGTTAACTCCTCTGTGTCCAGCCTTCCTGTGGGTTCAGCTGCTCCCTTCTTTCAGCAAGGCAGGGGCTGAGAAGAAATACTGCACTGTTCTTCCATGGGAAAAGAAGGATGGAGCTGGACAGAGATTCCTGCAGACCTTTGCCAAACCCTGTAGGGACCCTGTCTCCTCTGGTTCTTCAGGAAGTGTTTCTGAACACCTCCAGGAAATATGTACATCCCATCACAGCTATCCCGACTCCTTCCTGCCCCATGCTTGGGATATCGATTTGAACCCTCTAGAGAATGAGAAATTAATCATTATCATTAGCTGTTATTAATTATTTGTTTATTAGTATAATGGAAATAAGTGCCTTATTACAGACCAGGCTCTTCCTCACTCCGTCGCATAATGACAGATCCTCAGGAGGAAGGGGAAAGGAGCTGCTGATCTCTGCCTAGCCCAGGTCTGACTTGTCCCCAACATTTCCCTATGCCGGGATGATGTGATGTGTGTATGGGGGAGCTGCCCATGGGGCCTTTTCGAGAGGGTGTACTCTCTTAGCACAGCTGGTATGGAACATGCTCCAGTTGACATGAGGAGGGACAAACCTGACCCATGCAGCTCTCCTGTCTTTTCCTTCCTGCTTTGCAGCTGCATTCCTGTTCACGATGGCACATGTGCCCTGCAGGCCCCCAATTGCACAGGCTGGGTGCACATCGGGAACCCCATTGGTGGGAACCCCATTGCACAGGCTGGGGCCAAGTGTAGCTCATTTGTGGGGTAGACAGAGGACACACGAGTTTTGAAGAGAGGAGATGTAAGCCAGGAGTGGCTTCGTGGTCTTTTCCTGAGAAGAGACAAAAGCCACTAGAGATGTAGGATGAGTTTGAGGAGATGTGAGGCCAAAAGACAATGATCTTGGGGGTGACCCAGGTCTCTGACAATACCTCCCTTCCCAGGAAGGCTTTCATTGCCACATGAGTCCCACTGCAGTTCACCCTTCCACAGAGGAAGGGGAAAGAAACAGTAAGCATGGCTAGGATCAGAGAACAGGGATGTATTCATCTCAGATGGTCCCATATCTCCATGGGAACAGGCCCGTTTGATGGCAAGTAGCCTTGTCGRACCACTGGGTGAGTGGGGAGCATCTGCTGTCTCTTCTGTCCTCTCCAGGGTTTTCAGGAAAGAGTCTGGATGTCTTTTTAGATCACAGCAGTTCAACAGCCCTCTCTGCAAGGCAAAATGAACAGGCTGGACACAAGGGAGGAGAACATGCCGGTCTCTTCCTCTCCACACCAACCCCTTGTCCCYGCGGCAGGGCTGGAGAAGGTAATTCCTCCAGTGTGGCTTTGCCTGGTGCCCTGCTGTGTGGATTTGCTGCCAGGGCCCTGGGGCACTTCCACCACAGGGGCTGCCAGCTCGTGCACCACCCTGGTGGGAGCCCTCCCAGCCCCACACCCCCAGCACCCTCTAACATGGCGCCTCTGCTCCCCCAGGCCCTGCAGGCTGAGCCTGCACCCTCCCTGCAACGCCCAGGTGGCTTTTCCCCAACATGGCCCGGAGTGGCACCCCTCGACCCTGCAGTGCCCATGACCCCGCTCYGGGCAGCCCAACCTCCTCCCCCTCTCCTTCCTCCTCGTCCCCGAGGGTGTCTCCGTGGCTGGTTGTGTCTCCGCGGGCGGCCGTGGTATCAGGCGCTGTGACTAGGGTAAAGGGGAAGGCTCCCTCCCCGCTGCAGGGATGTGGTGATAACYGGCCGGAGAGGCCGGGGCGGCCGCCACAGCGCGGGGGGCGGCCTGTGGGAGCAGCGCTCGCCATGGACGCCCGCCGCTGCCTCCTGCTCCTCCTCGCCCGCCTGCTGCCGCTGCTGCCGGGCCCCGCCGGCTGCCTCCTTGCACCGCAGGACCCGCTGCCCCTGGGCCCGGACGCGCCGCTGCCGCCCGCCACCGCCGACCCCGCTGCCCGCCTGCTGCGGGGCCGGCCCTCCGCGCCCGTGCGGCCCTACAGCCTGTCCCTCTCCCCCGAGGACTACCGCTACTCCCCCAAGCCCAAGCACCTGCGGCCCGGGCGGCTCCGCAAGCTCCTGGGCCCCTCCTTCGACCCCTTCTGGATGTCGCCGGAGGACCCGCGGGGCCGCAACGCCAGCGCCGAGCACCTGGAGGCCCTGAGCCGGGAGCTGGCGGAGGGCGCCGGGCGCTACCGGCGCAAGCTATGGCGGGAGGCTGAGGGCCTGGAGCTGCCGGCCCTGCTGCCCCCGGGCGAGGGGCTGCCKGGCAACCTGAGCGGCACCGTGGCCCGGCGCCTCCGGCAGTGGCTGGTGGAGCGGGCTGCATGCCGCCTCACCTCCGCCTGGGTGGACCTGGGGCCCGTCTTCTGGCCCCGCTGGGTGCGCCACACGGCCTGCGACGCCGGCCCCGCCGGCTGCTCGTGGCCCCCCGGCATGACCTGCCGCCCGGCGCAGCTCACCCACGTCAAGCTGCTGGCCTGGCACTGCTGGGCCGGCCGGCCGCCGGCGCCCGGTGCCCAGCAGTGCGCCTGGCGGCACGTCCCCTACCCCGTCGTGGCCGCCTGCAAGTGCTCCTGCCGGTAACGGGTGCCGCGGACGGGGCGGCGCGCGCCGGGGTGGGGGGCACGTGGCTGCCCTCACTCCCCAACTCCATGGAGAGCAGAGCATCCCGATGCCGCCTCCCTGTCAGGCACTGGAAAGCGCGGACAGTGCAAGCAGCCCGGATGCAGCTGCCAGCTTCAGGGCTCAAAGCGGGAAGCAGAGTGGTCCCTCTCCAGCCGCGTGTCCCTCTGGAGAAGCTGCCCGGAGGTGGAAGCGGCCAAGTGTTTTGGGCCGCGCGGGGCCGAGGCACCATGGAAACGCTGGTGGGCGGCAGTGCTCTCCGAGGCTTGCTCGCGTGCTTGCTCGTGTGGAGAAATAAAGTGCCAGCAGAAGAAAGCGGGTGCGCCGGTGCCCATTGCTCTTGCACGACGAGATGGGGGTGATAGCAGCATTGGGGCCGGCTGCCTCCTTCAGCATGGAGGAGGGAGCTGTGCTGCGTTCTCTGCTGGCCCCATGTTGTGGGTGTCCCTGCTGTTCCTGTGGGGACACGGCAGAGAAGGCAGGACGGTCTCCGGAGCTGCGCTGCTGCCGCACCCTGGGCAAGGGGACGGCTCTTACCCCTCACCTGTGAGCGCAGGGAGCTGTTTACACCGGGAGTCCTTGTGCGCGCCTGGCGCTCCCAGGCGTTTATCTCCAGCGAAGGACTTGGGATGGGATCAGCCAGGCTTCCTGGCACGGCCCGAACAAGCTCAGTCAAAGCGGCCTGCTGCAGGCTCCAGTTGCCAATGGGGCTGATCCTGCTTCTCTGATCCACCTGGAAAATGCACTTACAGGGTTCAGCACAGCTCGGCGCTTCCCTAGGCAAAAGGGCTGAAGGAAATTTTGGAGCGATAGGCACAATCACAGCTTGAGTGCCATTAATGCAATCAGCCCCACTGGGCTTGGCCCTAGCCAGGCCACGAGCTCACTCCTACGTGCAGTGTGCTTGTCTGTCTGTGCCTGGCATCAGGTGAGGAGCAAGGGCAGAGGGACACAATGACCTGTGCATGGTGGGACTGGAGACCACGTTGCAGCAAAGCAGTGGGGAAGGGGCAGAGAGAAGTGGGTTGCACCTCGGCATGGAAACTGTGCAGCATAAAGAGGAGCTAGAACATGTTAGTGGCAAGGGGGCCAACTTCAGGACTGAAATGCAGGGAGAGGRCGAAGGTTAATTGGGAGCAGGACAGAGGAGGGAGATGGTGGTGGCAGGAACCCCCTGAACTGGAAGTGTGCATGTGTGTGTGCATATGGAAATGGTGTGGGACAGGACAATCTTGTATTTCATAGCACAGCAGCAGAAACGGGGGGAACTGCAAGTCCTACCATCACATCACACGCAGCTTAGCAGCTCAGCACTGGAATGGATCAAKAACAAGTCAGGGAGGGCCTGGCAAGGGTCAGGTGAGCCCAGCATGGGAACTGCAACCAGAAAAGCTGTTGTTTGCATCAGTGTTCCTCTGAGGAGCAGAAGTCATTTGATTTCTGGGATAAAAGCTGTACTGTAAAGAGTTGCAAATATGACATGTGTCAGGAAACCTTGAAAAGCTAGAGAACTCGAGAGTTTGCCTGGAAATGAAATACACACCTCCTACAGTGAATAGGCACTGCATTATTCATTTCCAGTACRTGATCATCAGACCCCTCTGCCTTCCGAGAGCGCTGTAGCCCTTGGCGCCGTGGAAAACACAATTTGCCGCAGAGCTTGGCCTTGATGCAGCCAGAAGCAGAACCTGGAGTGCAAGGGGTCAGCTGCCAAGAGCTCTGGGAGCGATGGAGGGGTGAGATCAGGGCATTTGGAGATGAGAGCAGAAAGAAAAGAAGATGGAGCTCACGTGTGCGTGACAGAGTGTGTTGTAGCAGGGGGAGGCTGGTGCTTCTCCTGCTAAGGAAAGGCTCACACATCTGGGCAGCCATTTGTGCAGCTCTCGCATCGTGAGGGGGTTTGAGAGTTAGAGCATGGTCAAACTGCTCAGGGCTCGCTGCCCCAAGCAGACGGAGGGCATTGGCAGAGCTGAGTGCTTTGGCCCAAGGGAGAGAAGGGTGTCCAGGTCTGGGAAGAGCAGGACTGACAACGAGGAGAGTGTGGTAGAGGTCTGCAGCAAAGGTGTGTGAGGAGAGAGGACAGAGGGGGTGAAGGCTTCAGGCGAGAAACAGCAGTGTTTTGAGGTAGGGACTCACAYACCTTGTCACAGACACCATCAAGTTGAAGCTTTGCCTCTTCCAGGTTGCAAATGGGAGCCTGAGTACAATTCCCTGCCCTTTCCTGTGGAGACCAAACCATCCTCTAGCTGTCTGCAAATGAGCATGGCCACCCCAGCCTGCCATGTGCATGTGGCAYGAGCCCTTTCCTCCAAGGTCCTGCTGGAGCTGCCCCATTGAGCCCAGAGGCATTGCTGGGAATGCGGAGAGCAGCAGCAAAGCAAATACTGTCTTCAGCTTTTAGCATCATCGCATWTAAAACCAGGAGCTCATTTTCCCACTTTCCCAAAACCATGCAGCCTACCTTGATAGAATCTGTCCTGCAAATTCYGGACTCCACCCCAGGCCTGGGCTGGCCCTAGGATCAGGGGTTTGGAGTATGTAAAGGGGAAGCAAAGCCTGGAGAAACAACCCCAACCATCACAGACCTCAGRCAACACAGATCCCAGCTGCTCCTGCCCAGCATGGCATGAAGTGGGTGGACACCACATCCCTCCAGCCATGCTACCTTCTTGCAAGGGCTTGTTCAGCACATATGGGTCCCATTCCCCAAATACTGCCCTTTGATAAGGGGGGAAGCCCCTGCAGCACCCCCAGGCCTGGAGCCATATAGAGGGAAACTGTTAGCAGCCTGAGCTTAGATCCCTGCAGAGGGAGGGAAGAGAGAGGCMCATAGTTTAACTTAACAGTCAAGCTGCTCTAACAAGAGCCTGCATCAGCCTCATGGAAAACRCATTGCTCATCTTCCTCCGCCCACACTGTGCTTTGCTTTACTACAGACCCCTGCAATCCCGGTTTTCCCTGGATTATCAGCACCCTGCTTTCTGTCATCCCTGGCTGCCCACAGTGTTTTAGGAGCAGGTCTTTGCTGGTGTGATACACAACACTTTGGCACCCAAACACACCATGCCCTTGTGTCCAAAAGGGACATCGTGGCTGGARTCTGTCCCAAGCTGCAGGTAGTGGTACTCAGTTCAGCATGGGGTTAGGCACACAGTGAGACACGTGGTTTCCTTCTAAAACAAAGAATGCAAACAAAACWGTATGGGAGATGCTAGGGCCCACTTGTGCTTGAGTGTCAAAGCACTAGCTCAGGGCAGCTTGCAGGAACAAATTGACAAACCCCAGACTGCTGTGTGCTCTCTGCTGTGCCAGATTTGCAGTTAATGGATCAAAATTATATGTTTCTGTCACTTGTTCTCCTCCTGCTTTCAACCCCAGACAGGTGCAGACCCTCTTACCAACCTGGCCAGCTGGACTGTGCCCCATGCACTACGCAACCCCCTTCTCAGCCTCTCTGTGGCAAAACGTTGCTCACTGGGCAGGCGTGGGAACACTGCARTGTGTGCTGCATAGAGTGAGGACATCAACAAGCAAAGCCTTAGCACTGGCTCTGGAGACCAACTGAGCAATCTGAGATAGAGAGGAGGAAGAGRAGAGGAGGAGAAAGGAGCCCCTTCCCCTTCTGGGGAAGGGAGAAAAGAGCACTGAAACTCTGGCCAGTCTCTGGCCCCCTTCTCCACACAGCTGCCAGGGCTGAGGGACAAAGCRCCTGGCTGAAACACAGCTCGGGGATTCCTCCCACCTTGGGGGAGTATCTATAATTCTCTGTAAATAATGAGCGGAGCTGATGGGCTGACGCTGCTAGACCTGCAGAAGAGCATGCAGGAAACAAGTGAGCCTGGTCACATTAGCTAGTCTAACTTTGCATAAGCTGAAAACCCAGGAGCTGTGGCATTTCAATACTCAGAGTGAAGCTGCAGCAAAACAGAGCCAAATGATGCAGAGCACCCTGGCTGCAGCCAAAGGAGGATGGGGATGGGCTCCAGGCCCTGGATAGGAAAGCAAGAGCCGAGCAAACATCAGCTGTATTGCAGGGAACCTTTAATGATACRTGAACCGTTGCCAAAGCCACAGCCAGCACAACACAGCAGCCAGATCTGCCCCCAGGCACTGTCTGCTGCCTGTGGCACTGCCTTGGGCACTGCTGCTTTCACCAAGGTGCTGCTCAAGCATTTTCCCCCAGTACAGGCACTTGTCTTGGTCCTGGGCAGGAAGGTCACTGGAGAAGGTGGCCCCTCAGGGCAGCGCTCCATGTTTCCGTCCAACCTCARTGAAGGCTTCCACACAGCGGTCGATGTCTTCATCACTGTGCACAGCAGAGATCTGGACCCGGATGCGAGCCTTTCCCTTGGGGACCACGGGGTAGCTGAAGCCAATGACATAAATGCCTGGAGAGAGGACACACATGGAGAGTTGGATTACGTGTGAGGGAAGGCAGCCCATGTGGTAGTGGGTGACAGAAAGCTACTTCCTCAGTAAAAATTACCGAGCTTGTGSGTATTTCAAGTGAATGACATAGGCTCCCAAGATGTGATGGAAATGAAGGTTAGGGCCAGTGATGAGGACATGCATGTCAGGACTCATATAAAACCATCCCAAAAAGAGAAAGAATGTGAAGCYAGGAACGGACCGATTGCCTCCCACAAGGGTCAGGGAGCCAAAACATCCTTTGGGGAAGAATGGCGATGGTGGCACCGCTGGACGTCGCCTCAGTCAAGGAGAGTRTCTGCAACCCGAAGCTGCCTCCTGAGCCTACCTCTGCTCAGCATGTCGTCAGCCATCGCAGAAGCCAGTCGAGCATCCCCAAGCATGACAGGACAGATGGGGTGGTCTTGCCCTGAGATGGTGAAGCCGGCTGCAGTCATCTTACTTCTGAACCTGGACAGGAGAATGAAAAGAAAAATCACAGAATCACTGAATGGCTGAGGTTGGAAGGGGCCTCTAGAGCTCATCTTGTCCAAACCCCCCCGCTCCAGCGGAGACACCCAGGGCATGTGGCACAGGGTGGCATCTGGCACAGGGTGGCATCCAGGCACGGTCTGAAGACTTCCAGAAAAGGAGACTCCACAACCTCCCTGGACAGCATGTTCCAGGGCTCTGTTAAAAGCTTATCATCACCGCTGTCCTTGGGGACCTTTCCCTTGTTCTGCTGCAGGAGCCCTGGCCACTGAGGCCACTGACACCTGGACACTGTACTGCACATTTCCTGTGAACGAGAGGCATCTTTCTCTTTGTTCCTGTGACTTTCTGTCATTTCCCAATCAGCTCTACATGGCGTGAGGGGCAGACCAGTCTCCGCTCACAGAGCATCCGGATGTGATACATCTGCCTCGATGTATCCACACAGATACAGATGTGATAGGGAAAACTGCAGAATGTCTCGGATGTGACCTTCAAACTGCCTCCGTGATTTTCAGCGGAGGGGAAATACACACAMGGGGACAGAGCATTTCTAAGGAATCTCTTCCCGGTGCTCCCACCCTGGTGGGGCAAGAGGTTGGAAAGGCCAAACACGAGCAGAGAGGGGGCCCCCCTCACCGTTGGGTCTTGGCAGCCATAGACTGCGCAATGGCRTTGCTCTCCATGAGCAGGTCCAGCGCCTTGGATGCGCAGCCCACCACGGCGGGAGGGAGGCTGTTGGAGAAGAGGTACGGGCGGGAGCGCTGGCGCAGCAGGTCCACCAGGGGCTTGGGGCCAGTCGTGTACCCGCCTGGGCGGCAGGAAAGAGAAGCGGAGACGGCAGAGCCAGCGTGAGCTACTCGGAGCGTGGTCCCTCCACAAAGCCACCCCGTTAGGTTACGGTAGGAAACGTGGAGTTTCAGGAACAAGCCAGGCCTATAAAACAGCTGATGCCTTTCACCAGAAGCTTCCACTTGACCTCAAGGGCAAGTTCCTGGTGAAGACTGTGAAGAATGCCGTGAAGACTTTCTCCATGAAGGCAGGAGAAGGAGTCCACGGCAGGACCTCCCTTGACCCTTTGGCAGGGTCCCAGACTGAGCCCCATATACCACCCCGAGAGAAAGGGGAATGTGCATTTCTTATCCTTTTCATTAGACAGAGGAAGAAAACATCAGAGGGATGGTGTGGAGCTCTTCAGGGCACAGAGGGCTTTGCACTGGGAAATTACTTCACCTGCGGCTCCTCCCAGTGCTTTTCCCAGGGTGGAGTTGATGATGGTGACTTTATCCATCACTCCAAGGAGTTCATCCGTACCGCTGTAGAGAGAAGAAACTCCCCATTATGGGCCAAGCCACCACACACCAGGGAGGCTGCTCCACACCCGATTCCAAAAACAAGGCAGCATCAAGGCCAGGTCTCTGATGTCCCTCCTTTTCTAATAAAGGAGGAACGCTCCCCCCACCTGTGTTAGTTCAACCCAAGCACTGGCCTTCCCTGCTCCTACAGAAAGGCTAAGCTGGTAAGAACATGGATTTTTCACTTCTAGACTGGGAGAGTGAGAAGCAGCAGTTCTCTTAGGCTGGGTTGGTGCTAAAAGYTCTGCTTTAAAAACCTGTGTACCCAAGGAGAAGAAAGGCATGTGTTACCAGAAAGAGAAGGCCAAGGCAGAGGTGGTGCATGAAGCCATTGAGGAACGGCGGCTTTGGGACTCCCTCCATAAAAACCCATTGGTCACCACCACCTTTTGCCTCGTGGCACAGCTATGCAAGGTGGGACGGATAAACAGTGGTGGSACAGCCGCTTACCGGCCATTGGGCCCCAGGAAGCCTGTGGCGTGGCATTCGTCGATGAAAACCAGGGCCTCGTACTTCTCGGCCAGCCGGCAGATCTCCTGCAGGGGGGCAATGTCGCCGTCCATGGAGAAGGCGCCATCGGTGGCCACCAGCCGCAGGCGGTGCTTCTGGTGGAGGGACAGGAACGTGCCGCAAGGGCAAAGCTGTCAGCCTGTGGCAAGAGGCTGGCRAAGCAGCCTGCAACGCAGCCCATGTGCTGCTGGGCCCGGAGATCTCTAACAGGGATGGGAGTCTGCATTGCAACCAGCTGCTTCTCCACCTTGGATGTTTATCCCAGCTGCTCTGGGAAGAGGGGGGCTTTTGCACGGGAAAGGGCAAAGCTCGTGCTTTGGGGCTGGTTGCTGCACGGGCAACAGGGGCAAGGGGGCACCCTCACGTTGGGGTGGGAGCCCATCTCTCTACCTGCGCTTCCTGCAGCTTGGCCTCCAGGTCCTGCATGTCCATGTGCCTGTAGCGGTACTTGTTAGCCTTGCACAGGCGGATCCCGTCGATGATGGAGGCATGGTTCAGCTCATCCGACAGCACCGCGTCCTCCGGGGTCAGCAGCGCCTGCCCCGGCCAAGCAGAAAGGATCAGCCTTTGCCCGAGGGCAGCACCTCGCCGAAACCTCACCCTCTCTCTCACTGCAGAGGGCCAGGCTGCATTTGATTCCTGCCACCACATCCCTGGCATCAAGACGTTTTACATTTTSCTTCCCAGCCATCGTCTCCCCTGACTTCCTCAGACCAGGCTCTTGGCTGTGGCTTCTGAGTTGAAAAATTCACTCCCCTAGGATTACCCTCCACCCACTTCTACTACCCTCAAAAATGTTATTTCATCCCCATTATGCAAGTTACTATTCCACTCCCRTTTGCCCAGGAGTTGGGCAGTCCTCCTTCCAACATGCAGGCTCTCTCCTTCTACACCAGGGCCTGAAGCTCACCTATTTTGACCTTGCTCACAACACATCCTGGTTTTGCCCAGAAATCTCACCTGGGCAGGAATCTGAAGGTTCTTGCTTTCATACTGCAGTAGGCACTGCACAGGCTGCAGAAGGCTGATGCACTGCAAGGTTTGGGAGCAGGCAGCTTCCCAGAAGCATCATGCTTCCACACACATGCCTTGCTCTGGGAATCCCATGATAGGCTTCCCAGGAAACGGGAGCACTACTGCCCTAGCACTCTCACCCAAGCAAACGACTGGGACTCAGTGCAAAAGGAGGAGGCAAAGACTCCACGTGGGCTCTGCCAGGCTAAGGGCACTGCAGCAGGCACCAAGGCAGGGTTCTCCACCTCCAGCGACAGGCTACAGAGCTCAYATCGGAGCCTTGGGAAGGCTTGGCAAAGATGCTGCTGACCCTTCCCTCCACCACACACGACRAAAGTGCTACGAACCTCAAAGATACCAGCATTGGCATCAAAGCAGCTGGCGTAGAGAATAGCATCTTCCCTCTGGTGGAAACGCGAGATCTTCTCCTCCAGGTCCTTGTGTATGCTCTAAAGAGAAGGACAGCGCACATAACTGGCTGGGGAAAAACACTTCTTGCTTGCCTGGAACTGTTAGATGTTCTCTGCAAGGGAGAAAATAGCCATATTTTATCTAGAAAGGACTCATGGGAAAGAGGTTAGTTTTGCTAAGAAAACGTTCGCAAACGTGGCCTTAAAACACAGTTATCGGTTTGGATGTCAGAAACACAGCTGAGACTCCAAGCTCCCTCCCCACGGGGGAGCAGCTGGGAGTTTTCTCTGCACTTAACTTACCASGGCTATAAAAGAAGTTGCCAGGCCTCCAGCAGGGATAAACTGAGATGGGTTTGGACGTGCTATTTCAAGTCAGACTTACTGCAWTTCTGACCCTTAAATGGGAGCAAATGACATTCACTTGGGGGATTCAGAGGGGTGTTTTGTTTGTTTTTCCACTCTGGTGTTATAATGGTTTAAGCTGACTTATTTCCAGGTCTCTGATAAGCCAGGGCTCGGCAGGGTTCTCCTTTGTGGCCAAGTGCACCGTAATCCTGCAAACATGCCCGGGCACACGCATGGGCGCTGGGAGGCACTCGGAGAGCSGGGCCTGACGACGGCCTCAGGGAGGCCTGAAAAGGGAGACCTGTATGAAGCAGAGGTACAGAAACCAGCCGCCGTTGCTGCAAAAGCTGCAGGGCGGAGAAGAAAAACCAGCTCCACTGGGAATGGGGTGCGGAAAGCACGGAGCAGAGGGGCTCGTGGAGCAGAGGGGCTCATGATTGCCCTGGGAGCGCTATGCACGGGAATCGCAGCCACGCTGCGGTGGGAAGGGACCTCTGGAGAGGGTCAGCTCCATCTGCCCGTGCAAGCAGGGGGTCCGGTGCAGGGGCGTGGGTTCCGCGGGAGGCCCTGCGCAGGGGCTCCCCGTACCTGCGTCCCGCAGATGAAGCGCACGGAGCTGAGGCCAGCGCCGAACTGCTCGAGGGCCTCCACGCCGGCGCGGATCACCTCGGGGTGGCTGGAGAGCCCCAGGTAGTTGTTGGCACAGAAGTTGAGGATCCCTGCGGAGAGAAGGCGCGAGGGTCGCGCTCGGGCCCGCCGCCCTCCCGCCCTCCTCCTCCTCCTGCTCCTCCCGGTGCCCGTGGCCGCCGCCCGCACCGGCGCCGCCGCCCGCCAGGCGGAGGTGGGGGCCCTGGCGGGACGCGATGACCCGCTCGCTCTTCCACGTGCCCGCGCCGCGGATG